GGCTTCGGCAGCCATGTCAAGCGCAGGCAGTGCAGCCCGGTGGGTGGCGGGAGCTGGGGGGCCCCAGCAGCCTGGGCAAGATCCTGCCCCTCTGCCTGGCGCTGGGGCACACACCAGGGTGCTGGGCCCAGTGCAAGGGACTGGGACGTACTAGAGGGTGTCCAGTGAGGACTGGGATAGCGGCAAAGGGCCAGAGCATCCCCTCACACAGCCCTGTGCAACCAGAGGCAGCTCGGGGGCTCCCTGGAGCGACGGGAGGGAGCACAGAGGCTGGGCCCAGGCTCTCTGGAGGCTGCGGAGCCTCCTGCTGCAGCTGCCCCAGGCACAGCCCCCCTCCTGGGGCTCCCCCAGCCCCCGCTGCCCTCCCAGCCCAGCTGCAAGAGCCCCCACCTTCCCCCCAGTCGCCCTTGGGCCATTCCCGGGGCTCTTGGCCAGCCATGGCGCCGGGAAGTGAGTGACGGAGCTGTGACCCCCGTGGGCCCCTCCAGGCTGGAGGCGCCCTTGGCCTCGCTCTGCCTGCGCTGATCCCGGTTACTCCTCGCCGGGCAGGGCAGGAGGGTGCCAGCGCAGCCCCCCAAACCAGGCCGCTGTACAGACAAATACTTTATTGATTCCGTAGCCTGAGAAAGGGAGCTGGGATTTCATAGGAAACGCTGGTCCCCGTCACGCCACCATTAGAAGAAATGCCCCGCTTGGGGCAGTCAGCCCAGGGGAGAGGCCAGCCCCTCCACGCCACCCACGCTGGCCTGGGCAGTACTGCCCTCCGGTAGTACCGGCACACCAGCTGACTCGTCCCCTGTCACTGGGATCAACTGGGGGTTACTGGGATCTCTACCTGGGCAGGGATAACTGGGCGGGTCAGTACAGCCCGTGCCGCCATGCTGTGCCAGAGCCCAGGCCAGAGCACGGCTCGCTGCTGCGCCCACTCTCACCGCACCGCCGTAAGGCAGCAGCCAGGGCTCGGCAGCGGGCAGCACCGTCCCCGTCTGCCACCGTCACCCCCTCCTGGTGACCGCTACAGTGCGGGCACACTCTGCCATCCCAGGGGAGGGCTGCAGCAGCAGTGGGACGTTGTGTGCGTCCCCAAGGACGGGGCAGGGCGCGGCTCGGCGCCGAGGATCACACCAGGACGCGGCACAGGCCCTTCCTCGGTGCCCGCAGCAGCCTTCCCTGCGGCCCGTCAGCCCTCCTGAGCTGAGGAATGAAAAAATCCGATTAGCAAACTGGTTCCCCACACTCCCTGCCCGGCGAGGGAGACTTAGTGACGTCAAACAATTACATCAAACAACTCAATGAAAAAAATAAAACCCAGAAAACTCAACTCCGGAGTCCTAACGACCGCTCCGTTTGGCCTGCACGGCGATGCCCCCGGCCCGATTTCCTCGCTCTGTACACGATCCGTGCTTCCCAGCGACGCACGCAGGGCTCCGGCCGTGGACACGCACAGCTCAAGTGATTCCTGGGGGCGCTGGAGCCACAGCTGGCCTGGCCTTCATCGCTTACCGGCCTCCAGGTACCTGTCTGCCTCGCGGCGGGTCTCGCTCCACAAGATGTTTGAGGTAGCTAGCAGAACTACTCTTCCATAGGATCACTTCCGGCGGGATTTTGCACGTGACTAAAGGAGACCACCTGCAGTTTGGGGAGCGGGGGCTTCCTTCGGCAGCGGGGCCGAGCCGAGGGGCCGGTCCTGTGCAAGACCCCGGACCGCCTGTG